ATATATATATATATATATATATATATATATATATATATATATGTATATATACATATATAATAATAATAATTTGTGGAACGTTCGTGGGCGCCGATAACACTCGATGATTTACTTCCTAGGAACCGTATATTATATATGATTTTGTTCAGTTACATGCAAATATAATTCCAACACGAATGTCGTGGTTGTACCTTTGCAAAGGATTTCATATACATCACTTAGCATGTGTGTGCTGCATGTAGACGGACAGAGCCGTTCGAACGCCGACAATGCGATGGAGGAGCGGACAGGAATTCGTACGTCCAGTTTATACACCACTAAGTGGTCCAAATGTACGTCTTCTGGAACAAGCAGACAGGGTGTCCAACACAACGCCGGAGCCTGGTATCAACGGCAGCCCAAAGATTCCACACCATCCTTCAGTACGCATGTTGATAATTAGCACTTGTCTCGTCACGATCACGGAACCCGTATTTCACCTGTATAATAGAATGAAATTAGTCGATTCCCTTCGCTTACTTTTCTGTTATCTCCGACATCACATCTATATCGCTTTTATCCGTTCGTTATTGCACATTCACAATATCTCAACCCTCTGTAAAGGGTAAACCCAGAGATTTTTCTCATCATCAAGTTACACTCGATCCGATTAATCATTAGTCGTACCCGGACCGATGACTTTTAGAACCCGTACTTTTTTATCTCCACGTATTCTTGCACGTTAGAAATTTACATTATATGCTACAAACTAGATGCGTATGCTTGGTAACACTTTTCTCTCCTTTATCCGTACTTAACGTAAGACGTTGAACGTTAAGTACTTCTCTCTCTCTTACTATTAATATTTTCTAATATTTTCTCACGATCTCTGTGTGTGTCTGGTTTAAGGATAACGATATTCAACTAACAAAGTATGTATCAACTAACGATATTCAACTAACAGTGCTGTCTTCCAACGAATCTCTTTTATACGGAGACAAGGTATATATATATCCCTCCCTCGGTCAGGGTTTCCGGCTTCTTATTCAGCGCCCTTTTTTTTTTCACCTTTCCTCTGACAACGGGTTTTCCCCCGCTATCTTCATCGATGAAATTAATTTTCCTCCTTTATTAACTCCATGTGCGCTCCGCGTTGCTCCAGGCGGAATTCCTGAAAAGAAAAATCATTCGTACACAGACAATGCCGCCCCTGGACTTCTCGTTTAACAAGGACTACGAGCCGGAATTCAAGTTCTACGATCCCGCGCTGCTCGAGGCCGTGAAACGAGAGAATCAGGACGTCCACATTTTTTTCCGGCTGCTGGCGCTCTGTCACACCGTTATGCCGGAGGAGAAGAACGGCAAGATCGAATATCAGGCGCAGTCGCCGGACGAGGCTGCCTTGGTGTCCGCCGCGAGGAACTTCGGCTTCGTCTTCAAGGAGAGATCACCGAACAGCATAACGATCGAAGTAATGGGGAAGAAGGAGATTTACGAGCTGCTCTGTATCCTGGACTTCAATAACGTGCGGAAGAGGATGTCGGTGATTCTGCGGAAGGACGGACACCTGCGACTGTACTGCAAAGGCGCCGATAACGTGATCTACGAGCGACTGAAGAAGGATAGCGAGGAGATAATGACGAAGACACTGGACCACCTGAATAAGTTCGCCGGTGAAGGCTTGAGAACACTGTGCCTTTCCGTGAGGGACTTGGACGAGAGCTTTTTCAATAATTGGAAACAACGGCATCAGGAGGCGGCGTTGAGCCATGAAAACAGGGACGACAAGTTAGATGCGATTTACGAAGAGATCGAGAAGGATATGTCGTTACTGGGTGCTACTGCCATCGAGGACAAGTTGCAGGACGGTGTGCCTCAGACCATCGCCAATCTCGGTGTAGCCGGTATTAAACTCTGGGTGTTGACCGGCGACAAGCAGGGTAAGGCTTTTGAAAACTTTTAAGTCGGTCTCCGTGGAATAACGCTCTCTCTCTCTCTCTCTCTCTCGAACATTTTCCGATACAGAAACGGCCATCAACATCGGATACTCGTGTCAGTTGCTGACGGACGATCTCACGGATGTCTTCGTGGTGGACGCCACCACTTACGACGGCGTGGAGACGCAGCTGATGCGGTATTTGGATACCATTAAGACAACCTCGACCCAACAGAACCGGCCGACACTCTCCATCGTCACATTCAGGTGGGACAAGGAAAGGTCAGGCACATGAAAGAGACGGAGTACAATCTATCAATTTTCCTCTATCTTCCGATTCCGATTAACGCATTCATTGAAAGAGAAAAGAAACAAGAAGATCAAAGAGGGAGAGAGAAAAAGAATAATAATCTTTCATATATACTGAATGTGGCACCGTTTCATATAATGCTTTCTATGTCTTATAGTCGTGGCTAAGAATTTATATTTAACTGCCGAAGAGTCGTGTGCGCTTCATACTCAGCTAGCCAGTCGTGTAACGCATTCGTTCGAATCCTATGACGATTTACTTAGGATACAAAGATTGATCCGTTGATTACTACTCACTCACGTGCAACATGATACGACGAATTATATATCTTTATCTTTGCTAGTGCGGCGCTTAATTCATCTTATGCGCACTGATTTTACGTATTTCACTTTCTACTTATCTCTCTCTATTTTCGAAGCTACGGTTGCATGCATCATATGACAGTTACCTTACCGTATATCTCTTTTCTATTTAAAGAAGCGTTACGAAACTATCCTTGGTATCTTGTGTGACTGTCGGACATACTCGAGACTTGTTACATTCAATATCGACAATTGCAATCAGCAATGCGACCGTATTTGAGAATGACAGTAGACTAGATGATTCTGACCTTTTTAAACCACTTCAGATATTTTCCAGATACTGCACAAGCTACGTCTGAGGTATTTTTTATGGATACTCTACGATTCTTAGCGATTATTTATAGTCATAGATAGGCTGAGAATTATTATATATCTCATGATGCTTGATACTCACTCCTTCTCTTTCTGTATGCTTAATAATTTAATCTTAGTCCCATATAACAATAACACAACCGGTATGTCGCTTTTATGTTCACGTTTTTTGTATCTGTAGATATTTAATATAACGCACTGTGTATTCGTTTATAATTAACGTGCATCATACTCTTTAACGGCAACAAGTTACAAATTGTTGTTCGTCATCTTATTAATAAGATTGCGACTCGTTATCTCTTCGCTCAACAATTCTGTCTCGACAATTGTGTGTATCGTCGTGGATCTAAGCCAAATCCTCGAATCGATTCTCTTCATACCAGATCCGCTGTCTTCTTATTTCGAGCGAAATCATCTGTTTTTATTCGAAAGCCATATTTTCTCTGCACAGCAGCGATACAGAGTATAATCCTAGCAGAGACGAGCAGGACGAGCACGAGATGGAACACTCGACGGGATTTGCACTGGTTATCAATGGACATTCTTTGGTTCACGCGTTGCATCCGAAGTTGGAGCATCTTTTTCTCGAAGTATCCAGCCAATGTAAGAAGTCTAGAGGAGGCTTGCTTACGCTTTGAGGAACGCCGTTGAATTAACTGGCTGGGAATTTTTCAGGTAAAGCCGTGATATGCTGTCGGGTGACGCCGCTGCAGAAGGCGATGGTCGTCGAATTAATTAAGAAGAATAAGTCCGCGGTGACTCTGGCAATTGGCGACGGCGCCAACGACGTCTCAATGATAAAAACAGCTCACATCGGCGTTGGTATCAGCGGACAGGAAGGACTGCAGGCCGTCTTAGCCTCCGATTATTCGATAGGGCAATTTAGGTTCTTGGAAAGGCTACTTCTGGTTCACGGCAGATGGTCGTACTATAGAATGAGCAAATTCCTTAGGTATTTTTTTTATAAAAACTTCGCATTCACCCTCTGCCACATCTGGTTCGCCTTCTTCTGCGGATTCAGCGCACAAGTGAGAATATATTAAAGTTTATATTATATATTGTCATATTATTATGTATCGCTATATTGTCATAGAGATTAACGTCCCAATTAGTTGTTGACAAAGTAATCTCACTGTGAAAATTAATTAATCAATTATGATAATACACTTGTTAAGTATGTAACATCTGTTCGAAAGTTTAAACATTTGGGATTCTGATTGTATTAGATTTCTTCAAATTTGTCATAAAATTTCAATTTATAATGTATTCAAAAATGACGGAAATACCATTCAGTGACATGTAACTTTGATTTTATCCCAATTTGTGGCACATGTGGAGATTGTCACAAACTGGGACATTTACCTTACAGCAAAGATAATGAAAGCGAATAAAAGCAAACAATGATGATACGAAGGCGAATATGATTCTTAAGACTCCTTTGTCAGAGCATCTTCTGCTCCGAAGTCGAGATTTTGAATATGCATATAAATTTGACCTACTGACCGTTCAATTTTCAAGAATAATGTAACGCTCGTTGAGAATGATCGGGACAAAATGTATAATCATCCACGAATGTTTCCTTACAGACTGTGTTTGATCCCATGTACATCTCCGTCTACAATCTGTTTTACACCTCGTTACCGGTGCTGGCAGTTGGCATTTTCGATCAGGACGTTAACGATAAGAACAGCTTGATGTATCCGAAACTGTACGCGCCGGGACTGCAGAATCTGCTCTTCAATAAGAAGGAATTTTGTTGGAGCGCTCTGCATGGGTTTTACGCCAGTTGTGTATTATTTTTAGTACCTTATGGCAAGTATCTGGCACGTTATCTGTCACGAATATTACTTCCGCTTTCTCAAGAGGACTCGTCGATCGTCAACGTTAGATCGTAGGAAAATTAAATTTTGCGTACCTTTTAACAGGGACATACAGGGACGGAGTGTCGCCAAAGGGTTATGTACTTTCTGATCATATGCTGTTCGGCAGTGTAGTGGCCACCATATTAGTGATAGTCGTGACCGTTCAAATAGCCCTCGACACGTCGTACTGGACAGTTTTCAATCACATCATGGTGTGGGGCTCGCTCATTTGGTATTTTATTTTAGATTACTTCTACAACTTCGTCATAGGCGGTAGTTACGTCGGCAGTCTCACGATGGTACGTAGCCGCGTGCTTCTGCATTTGCGCCGAAAACGTTCGCGCATGAAAATGTGTTGCTCATTTACCGTATTTCACACACACGTTAAAGAGGCCGCTTATGAAGTTAGTATTTATCAGTCAAAATTACGTTCCTGCATTTATTCCGCTACCTAAATAATAAGTGTTGATTTCAAACGAAATTGAGGTAGACGTATATACACAATATTGTAAATACGAAAAGAAAGAGGCATGTGTATATCTGAATTACCATCAAACTTTTGACGAACACCTTTAAATGCAATGCAGATCAATCTTCTCGTAATATTTTTCACTATTTCGTGACTTATGGGCGATACATTCTTGAGAACGATCAAACTCGGAAGTTGAAACTCGATCTCTCACCGCAGGCTATGTCGGAGGCGACCTTTTGGTTCACAACGGTGATATCCTGCATTATTCTCGTGATACCGGTTCTGTCGTGGAGATTCTTCTTCATGGACGTCAGACCGACACTGTCCGACCGAGTCAGACTGAAGCAAAGATTGGCGCAGCTGCGTTCCCGCCAGAGCCAGGATATACTACGTACACCGTCTACAAGACGTACACGGCGTTCTTTACGCTCGGGCTACGCCTTCGCCCACCAGGAGGGCTTTGGCAGGCTCATCACGTCCGGGAAGATTATGCGCAAATTGCCAAATGGTGCTGACTTTAAGTTCGCTATGCCATTCACAAACAACGTTACGAAGCAGGTGAACGTTGCCACTACGTCACCAAAGGATAATAGTGCATCTAGGAATTCGCACACACTGGACACGATTAATTTATAGTTGGAACGTTTAGTCGATCCCTTCTCTCAGCGAAGACACTGAAAGTGCAGGTGACTAGCGAGCTCTTCTTGATTTACTTAGTTACGGATGTTAGGGTCGAGATCTAACGCGACGAATTTTACCGGTTCCGGTGTATCCCATTGAAATCGTGTTCCCCCGATATCACTTTTGTGGTAATTGAGAGACGCAGGGTGATATTGTGTATGCAGTATTCGAGGGTATCTCGCGGAAGAGTCGATATCTGTGATTTTACGTTACATTTAATTTATTTCTCTTTTTTTTCCTCTCTCTCCCTCCCTCTCTCTNCTCTCTCTCTCTCTCTCTCTCTCTCTCTCTCTCTCTCTCTCTCTCTCTTTATTCTTCAGAAATATTAGAGATATCTTGAATTATATCAAGTAAGGGCAAAATTTCTTGAACAATTAGAACCCCTATTGTGATCTACAACGTATGCCTATGAACAACGATAGTGATAAATGTTGAAATAAATGCAGAAATAACTTTGTTGATGCGTGTGTATCTTTAACGCAATGGATTCCAGTGGGATACATTGAGTTACACTACTACAATAGAAGTAGCATACGCTATTTACGTCTATACATCACTGTTGAGCATTTATGCATCCATTACAGTTTATGACTTAAATGTTACGTACTCACGTGTTCAATCATTTCTCAGCTATATTTTTGCACACTTATTGAATAAACGTGCGGAGCACGCATATATTTGATTTAACATTTTGGCCGCATAATTATGTACGTAAATAGTAATATATGTTCTATGCCGTATGGAAAAATAGCTTATGCTACAATATAGATTTATGTTTTCAATTGTTACTGTGAAATTTTCGTATATATGAAAATGATCTTGAATATTCGCACACTGTATGATATTTTGTTCAATGAAAGTCTCGAAAACAAGAAAAAAACAGCAACTATATATATTTTTTTATTTCGTATATTCTCATATAGAAACAACGTTGGAAGCAAGTATTAAGAGAAAATGCAGCGAAATGTACATTTTCCGTCAATTTGATCTACAATTATAACGTTTGTTTTCAAACATCTGATAATCGAATAGAGATTACAGTTACTTACTTACGCGTATTATCGATGAGATGTTAATTTATAGAAACGACACGCAAAATTGTCGGTTATGCCGTGTAATTTACAGGGCATTTCTCTCGCTAAATAATTGGAACCCCGAATAATTGGGGGGGAAAACAAATATATATTCGGCATTTTAGTATTCGCAATATTCTGTGGATAACTTTCGACCCGTTTTTTTTTTCTTTTTTTTCCCCCGGAAACGTTAGCACGAGGATAACGGTTATGCAATAACGGTGGAAGAAATAATTCGCGTTGTCATGCACTCCTTGTGTACATATATATAGAAGTATTGCATAGAGGTGTCAAAAGTCTTGTAATATCCTACCTTGTATCATATAATTAACCTAGTGCGAACATGATTATTGTAAAAACAAAAAAAAACACGTTTACACGATATACTATTACGGTAAGGATGATAGTTACATTCATAATTGCCTTTATAAAACATTAATACAACAAACGATTAAAATATTGTACTATAGCGCGCATTGATTGTAAATATTTTAAAGAGATATATATATTATATTAAATGTTAAGTATATATACATTTTTTAAAAGAAAGTAATATATAGATAGATCGATCTAAAGAAATACGAAGATAGTAGCTATATTGTATTACACTATCGCGAATGAAGTTTGCCTTGGACTGACTACTGAATACATATAATATTAAAGTAAAAGAAGAAAAAAAACACAGTAGCAACAATGGAGTATGTATTTCTACTTTTAATATTACAACAATGTGAAGTTAGGGAGAAATAGAGTCTGTGCGCGGGGAAAGTAATGTTCCACAATCAAATTATCATTTAAAACGGGGGAGGACATAGGATTTCGTTTTGCTTTTGAACGTTGTGCCTAATCGTCGAACTATACACGTATACACACTTACACAAAGAGCGTGATGAGCTCCTGTAAAATCTCATTGGTTTACGTTACCGGTTTACGTTTGATTATATGTGATGTACACTTCGTCTTCTATGTGAATAAAAAGCGTATTTACTTTAAATTATTAATTTCAAACACATATTCAAAGACAGATATACATTCAGTGGTTGTGTACAACATAATCTCTTCTTTTTGTATCGCATATATGTGCTCGTTGAAAAAAAAAAGGGAGGGGGAAAGAAACGTTTGCAATACAAAAATGATTTCTTTCGAACAAGTTTCTGCAGTTTTTGTCATTTTGCTTATCATATAACGTTGAATTTCTCGCAAATGTTACATTCTTGAGAAAATTGCAGTTGCTCGTCGGTAAAATCAGCAGGGTTGGAAGTTACTTTTTAAAACTAATCCGAGGTCGTTCACGAGTCGTTACAATTCCCGTTACTTTTCTCACCAAGCTTTGGAGACGTCTCTTTCCAATTTGCCATTGCCCATCCTATATGGACATATTCTACATGTACGTGAAGTAACGATTATATTCATTGCTGTTACACAAAAATGTAATTACGTTATCATTATCATTACTAACAGAGAAAAATAACACGGAGTTATTATTAAAAAAAGATAACTGATAACGACGTTACAAGTAATGTATTACTTCCCAACCCTGGTGAGATAGTGGTCAAATCATTTGGTAAATTTCGTACAAGCCGCATATAACTCGCTGCAAAAGATAGATTGTCTTTAAGCTTTCGTGACGATTTCATGTATTTCTGTAAAACAAAGCTTACAAACCACGTAATAAGGTATTATCGAACGACTTTTGCATGGTGAAGATAAGATACTTACCAATAGTCATATAAATGGACTGAAAAAAAATATATATATAATACATATAATTTGACACATATTTATAAACTAAAAACGAGGAGGCTGGAATTGTATAAATATTTCGTCAATATTATACAACCGTGCTATCACGGTAACTTCTTTATATTGACGCATGTATAAACGTGTTTTTTCTTCATATACATGGGAAAAAAGTAAGTTTATACGGTCATATATAAGAAAATGCACAGCCTAGATTTTTCTCGAGGTTGATTTGTACGCACATGTCTGGCTTGGTAAAATACTTTGCGCTACAATAAGCAGTCCTTTGATTATGATTTGTGCGAGATGGTTAATGCGACGTACGTTAGTTTGCCGAATACGGGTGACGATTTTGCTTGTGAAATTGATTCGAGATTCCGACATAATTTGATGTTTTACGTTACTCCTGTATATATTTCGGACATACCGAGTGATTAACTTTTATTTTCTGTGCTAAAAAAAGGACTCGAGTGTCTTCTACTGGCGTCTGGTATCTCTCTCTCTCTCTCTCTCTCTCTCTGTTCGTTGTATACGTGAGAAAAGGAAGAAAGAAGAAATACACAGATATTATTTGAAGATCTTGGTAAAATTAACAATCGATGTGCTTACTTAACGTAAGACGGATAAGAGTTATAACGTAGTCATAAAATGTTGTTGGTTGCATAAACTGTTATATGTATGTTACAATTCAAATGCTGAATCAAATTTGGAAGCGAAGTGTATCGGTCCGCTGCATGTGCTCTACTACTGATTACGTGAATCAAACAGCAATCGGCCGGGACACACACGGAATTCCGAACACACGTAATGATAATAATAATAATAATTTACTTGTACCTTCAGTATAGTTTTGCGTAACTGTATTTTCTCATAGCAGTTTGTGCACACTTTTTCCGTAAACATTTCTTCAAAACGGTTTCTCACTTGTTACGCGTTCTTTATGAGATACTAGTATATGACAATAATGCGAACAGTTAAATATAATACGAATACGCATTATATTATATGTGATCGCTAAATAGTATCAATTATATCTTTGCGTTATTTGAATATCTCTCGCCTGAAATAAACAATAATCTTTCAGTAATTTAGTTCTTCTCATCGCATGTATTCAAAACTATCGTTTCTTTCTGGCACACTGTTTCTCCACGGGATATTTCCTTGTTGATATATTTTTACCTTTTTTTCTTTATAGAGACTTTTTTCAGTGTTTTTATATACCGTTTTCTCAAGTCAATTTCTTTCTATCGGTGTTAAGATTATTAGGATTAACGTATCGCACGATAGAGCCATGCAGAGGCGCATCTTACGTAAATCAACATTACAATTTAAGGTGTTCCTTGTACAATGTACGCGCTAATGGAGTCTAATATGATCGCGAAATTATATAATATATGTTGTAATACGCGTAGAGGTAGAGAGCAAGAAATAGGAAGATGATTGCGATATCGAGTAGTAGCATACTTTAATCCCTATCGTAATTCTTAGTTACACACATGAAAACATCTAAACACGAGATAATTCCATCGACGTACCGATGATGATACGTTTCGGCACACTGGCTGCATTGCTTCCGCGCCGTTACATTTGATTTAACGAGATAAGATTTCCGGTCAGCGGGCGCAACCGTTACAGGAAAGATTCCTCGTTATTCCATGTTCTCGCACAATTTTTCTGCTTAAATCACGATATTTTAACGTTTCACGAAAAAAAAAAACACAATTCATCTCGATAACGCGTATGATCACACACAGACCTGGTTTTTCATTTTCCGGTTAGCTCGTGGTTTAGGTTTAACCTGACGATAATGTAAAAATTATGTTTTTCTATTCACGTTTAATCATTGGACCTTAAAAGTTACCACTACATCCCGGACAACGCAATGTCTAAAATCGGGATAGGACGTCTCAAAGGCGTTCTTCAGACATTAGAAACACAAAATACTGCAAAGATATCTTCAAGACGTCTTATGTCTCGATTTTAGACATTGTGCTTCCTGGGATCAGTTTAATGATTAACCGCAAATAGAAGAACACAATTTTTGTATTATCATCAGTTTATAAGTCTGCAATTTAACTAGAAAATGAGAAATCGGGCTAGTCGAGGGTGTTTCATCCTTCGTCCGAAACTGATCTCACCCGATCGCTACGTTCGCTTCCTCATCGGTCATTGCGTTTTCTCTATTACTTTCCTGAGGATTTCGATGTTTAAATGCTAATACTAGCACGTACAGTTATAGGAGCAATTGCCGTTGAATCGTACGGAGAAAATTTCGCGTAGGTGTTACTTATAGTTGAATCTGAATGAAGGGGACCACAAGTACAATACGTTTTTAACGTAAACTTATTATTTACACACTTTTATTACGACGCTTCTCGAGATTGCTTCTACGAATGTCGATTGAGTCCTCCTTTTCATCAAGGAAACTCTCGCGCACTCCGTTTGTCCGTTTATCCGCGTTATGTTCAAGATGTTCGTGATACTGGTCTAAAGAAACGAAGAAGGTATACTTGTAATATCTGTAATATAGCCGACAGAGCGCGTCGCGTATGAAAAGAGAAACGTGTAAATAAAGGCAAAAAGGGGAAAAAGGATAATGTGCTTCGTCAGATTTAAATAATCTCACGAGAGTCGATGTATATTTATATGTAAATTAAACGATGGCCGTAATCTCCGGACGCAGTTCATAAAATGAAATAAAATGGACAAGTTGTGCGGATTATTTTGCAAAACTTTGCTTTTGCATCGAGTTTAATAAACGGGTCGGGAAGAAGACAAGACGCGTATACACATACACATATATATATACACTCACACACACATACACACATGAGATACTTAGGCGTCTCAAGTATCGCTTCAGTATTCAAATGCACCTGTCACCTGTCTAAGTTGCGCTTCGTACGTAAGATATGTAAGGTATATAATTTCGCCCGGCTTTTCGCGCGGCCTGTCGTTAAATTTAAGGCATCCGTTTTGCGTTTTACGTGTATAACGTCGACAGACGGAGCGGGTGACGGAGGGGGGGGAGATGGATTTTTCCGTTCGTCAGAAGTCCGAACACGGCCGACTCATGTTGATATGTGCATTGATAACATAATAAATTAAGAATGATCTTGTACTAATTGTACTTTCGTTGCACAACAGTATTTATTTGCAGTATGGATACACATGTAGCGTATGTAGTGTACGCAGTGTGTCTCGTGGTTTGGTGATTCCACCGAGAAGGGGGCGGCTCTTCGTGAAAGAACATCTCACTGTGCATCTCTCGCTTGTTTTTTTTTTTTATGAAAAGTTATCCCCTTTTCAACCGCATTACGGGCAGTGGGAAAATTCATTTTAATAAATGAGGCAAACGTCCCGGTAATTGAACGTGTCCCAATGATCGAAATATTAATAATATATATGTGTTTATTAAGATGCCTATCAATAAATAAATGAAACAAAATCACAGACTAACGAAACATTTCTCTTCATTTATTATATTGTTCTGTATAGTGAAAAGCATTTTAATAAAGAAAAATACGTCAATAATATTCCAATCATTGAAACATGTATGTTCAATCATTGGGATGTTTACCTTATATTGGAATCGAGTATACGTTCATAGACTTTCGAAAGAAAGAGAGAGAGAGAGAGACGCAATCAATCAATATAATAGGAACATTATTTCCAACAGAACCACGGACTTAACGAAATGCTGCCCTCTGATCAAAATTCATCGACTTTTTCACAAATCATAAGTTTTCGAGTAGTGTTTGTAACTTATTTCATTTTTCCCCTTTCATTTCCTCGAAATATTGATCGAAACACCAATATTGGGCCCATGGCGCGTACAGAAACGTAAGGAGTAAGAAAATTGACCATTCACAGTTGATTATTCTTCAAGCACAAGGAGAATAATCGACTGTGATTCGTCAATCTTCTTACTGTTTATCTTTTAACGGCATCATGGGCTTTAACGATACGGTCGTGTGCACTATTGAATTAACGCAGTGTGCGGAGGTATCGCGGTTGATCACCTGTTGACGCTTCAGCGATTTGTGACTAGCCTAATCGACGCTTTCGTATCACTATTCAAAAATCGAACATCTCAGTCTACAAAACCGTTCAACAATTAACCATCGGGGTTTCTCGCGCGTTTTTAAATTAATAAAACTAACAACGCAACGTTGTACTTTTTAACATACGTACATACGTTATTATTGCTACTCATTGTACACTCTCACTCCGTTCTTCCTTATTCACTCGCACATGGATTATCACTATTATTGTCGCGAGACACCTGCGTGATATGTTCAAACGTGAACTGTCGCATTAATTTCTATTGGAAATATATTGTTTTTATCAGATTATTAGATTCGTTTTGTTGTATGCTCCTTGTATGCGTATAAACATACACATACGAGTACAGATACAAGAGTATATATCATTATTGTGAAAATTTAAGTAATATGTAATACTTTTACCGTACAAAATTGTTCATCGCGATGTGATACACTATTTGCAGTATCAGACTAGAGATATCTATTCCTCTAATCCTCCCGAACTTGCCATTGCGGATGAAATACGACGGGATTTTTGACTGATGTTTCGGAAGAATTTTGATGACAATATCGGAACCCATTTCCATTTTTTCTAATATCAGTCATCGTTAAAACTGTAGCCGTTTGGCTAACGAAACGCCGTCTGCTGATTCTAGCAATTTCCTCTTCAGACTCGGCCTTTCTTCCGGCTGCTGTTTAATAACTGAGGGCAAAGGTAACTTGGGCCCGGGCGTTGGAGCGGGCTTGTTACTGAAATACGGCATCTGCAGCGCTTGATCGCACGTACATCTTTCCAGCGGATTCACATTTAACAGGCTAGCGATTAGATCTAGAAGGTCATCACCGGCAGCAGTGAATATGTGCTTCAACGGTGTCCCGGGGAAGGGCTTGAATTGAATAAAATCCGGCAATTCAATCATCCCCGGCCATGTTTCTTCCGTAGGAGTTCCTAATGTCTAAGAAAACAGAACATGTTCCAAATTACAGAAAAATTTGTTAACATTTCCTTAGATTAGAAAGTCTAATATGCACGTGACAAAACAATATATAGAATGTTCCTCCATTAGGAGAACACTTAAATATCTTGGGGGGGCCTAAATATGGGGATCTTGAAAAAATCGAAGAAAATGACTAGAAAAATTTGTCTCCCACGATATTTCTTTTGCGAAACCGTTCAACTTGTGCTCTAAGCACTTCTTGTATAATTAAAATCAAAGGAAATACTTAGGTGTTTTCCTCATACTGAGATATCCTGTACATAATGATATACAAACCTGAAATATCCTTGTGAGCTGATCCAAGTCAGATTCACCAGGCAGAAACGGTACTCGCAGCAGAAGCTCGGCCAATATACAACCCACTGCCCACATGTCAATCGCGGTACCATAAAGTCTAGCACCATAAAGTAACTCGGGCGCTCTGTACCACCTTGTAACCACTTGATGAGTATTTATCCGATTAGGCGACCCGAAGAATTTTGCTAAACCAAAGTCCCCAATCTTCAGAACACCCTCTGAATTAACTAATAAATTGTTTGGCTTTAAATCCCTATGGAGTATCCAGTTAAAATGGAGATAATCTAAGCCTTGCAGGGTCTGGATCATATATGCCTTGATATTAGCTGCAGTTAGAACAATATTGTTATCTTTTATTATCACTTCCAGATCAGTATCCATGAAGTCAAATACCAATGACACATTTGACTTATGGCCGAAAACATCTAAAAATAGATAATCATACATGCACAACTGTAAAAGTCTGTTTATATTTCCATATATAGTTTGCGTTTCATTGTTTACTTAGAGAATTTTATATTAGAAATAATTACCCAACAGACCGATGATATTGTCGTGCTTTAGTTCTTGCAACAGCTTGATCTCGCGCAAGGCAGTTCGATTTATACCATCTCTGGCTTCTGCTCGACTACCCACCTTAATCTATAAAAATTTATATATTATAAGTGAGTCACACATATCGGATAAATGTGTATGAATCTCGTGCAGGAAGGTAACCAACCTTTTTTACAGCTACAATGTTATTTGTTTCTATATCCCTGGCTTTATAAACTGTGGCAAACTGAAATGTACGATATATAACACATGTATGTATATTACGTATATAATACATACATATACATATAATTATATACATTACAAAATATATTAAAAAACTTATATATTGAAATACTCCTACATAATATACAATATAATATAATATTATAAAACGATAACAAATTTCGATTCTAACCTGCCCTTCGCCCAAGAAGTCAATTTTCTCATATCTTCGTACTTTTTCCATCATCGTGATCATTCGTGCAACATTCGATTACGTTTTATTTACCTTTCAGTAATCGCAATTATTTGCAAAACGTGAACAAGTTCTAAACGACTTGCACTTGTATAATGACAGAGGAAAGCGATGGCACGATGCTGTCGTTGCGAGAATATAACCATTAACTGGAAATGTTTCAATTTAATTCTTTTTTTAAAGAATGAAAATTCCTCTTCTAAAATTCCTTTGAAAATTCGGCTGATTTCTATATTGATAGAATTTATTTGGTGCTCTTCGATTCGATTATCTTATTGTTATTATAAAAGAATAGTTTCATGATAAAAGAAGAGTTTATTTGACCCCAAGGATAATCATTTCTCGAGAATTATACAGTAGATAAGAACAGCCTTAATAGATTTAGGGATACCGCAGACTAAAAACAGCCTTAATAGATATAGGGATACCGCAGACTAAGAACAGCCTTAATAGATCTAGGGATACCGCAACTAAAAATAACACGAATACGAGGGGCGATTGTGATTGGTGGGGGCCCCCAGCGAATCGGAGAGCGTCGCGGAAGGGGGAGAACGTTTGAAATGAAAGAAGGGGAAATGGCGGGCGGTAGCATGCAAACGCTGGAAGTGAGAGGACGCGCGTTCAAGGAAGCGGAAAACTACGTAAAAACGAAAGGGACCCTGGAGAAGTTGCTGACGGACGGGAAAGCTGGCGGAGACGTCCTGGTGCCCATCTCCTGGTGGAGGCCCAAGGAGACGCGGGGAAACGACTGGTCGTCTGGTGACGGTAAGTGGGCTAAAAAATCGCCACAGTTCCCCCTCGTAACTTTCCCGAAAAAATCGAATCCTCCTCGTCGGAGAACCGAAGCATCCGGTGGGAAGCTCGACGCGGAACGCGGTACCAGTGATTGGAACCGAAAAACCACGTTTAAAAGAGAAAGAATCCCGTCGTCGGCGGAATCAAACGGCTGCCCGGTACGATAAGCGACGTCATACTGCGCCATCCCGCCGTGCGCGCCCGAACTTGTCTCGACGTGTTCGCGACGATAGTCCTACGTCGGGATAGATCTATTAAGAATAAAATATCCTCGAACTACGACGCGTGGGGATAATTGTTTTATTTTATCGGCGTATCGGTCCGGAAAATAATTACGTCTTACATATATAAAATACATATATAAAACATATATTACATATATAAAACATATATTACATATATAAAATAATTACGTCTTACATATATAAAATACATATATAAAACATATATTATATATATAAAATAATTACGTCTTACATATATATGGCTTAGACCGCGTGATATTGAGAGATTAGTCATGTAAGATTCGTTCATCATATTTTTTTTTATCAGCCGCATTGTATTCATCGCTCACCTGTACATACTTATTCCGTGTCCAACAAGTGCATTAAATATCATCAAACTTTTCGTATGATTCTGTTTTTGTTCATTAGGTTCGTTTTGCTCTTATAGGATTTATAGATCCGTATTTTTTGTTATCGTTTTATTTTTTTTTTTAAATAGATTTCATCTTATTTGCTCTAACGGGGTACATGTTCATTCTTTCGCGTTTTTCCTATCCCCATTCCCAGTGTTTGAGCGTCCGGTGATCCGAACATCTCTTCGGGGACGACGACGACGACGACTCTATCAGGGAGGGAATCCCTCTATACAACCCCTAACAATAAAGGCGCATCTGGGGAGACTTGGCCGGTCCAGCTTCTCGGGCCTGGAGTTTGGGCGAAGCTCTCAAAAACAAAAACGCCCTGGCGACCGTGGACGGGCAACGGGATCCGTGGGGAAATTCACTTCTAAAGGTTCGGAGAGACCTGGGGGACTAAACGTTTTCACTCAGCTAGTGACATCTGGTCACAACAGTACATTCAATACTGGAACGTAGCCTAATTAGAAGCTTGTATAAAGTTTTACGTCTTTTACACGATACAACCTGTAAGTATACTTATTATCGCTGAATCAACTTGGTTTCAGAAGTTAAAGTTAACCGATATCGAACACGATGCTTATTTTTTCAGATTCGAAGTGATGTATATAGATTCGCGCTGTTAAACCGAATAAGTGCGGAATAACTGACATAACCCTTCGAAACACTGTTCTGCGATCATTGCTACTTGAAAATATGTTAATTCAAACCCAACAGAAATTATTGTTCAATGCGATAGTGAAATATGGCAAATGGTGGAAGTACAGTACTTCAGCTGTCAGCGAAGTCAAGGATAAGACTCCGTCCAACGCAGAATCATTGTACTTACCCATCGAAGATTTGAGCTATAAAGCCAGAAAGAGGAGAAAAGATGATGCTTTGTGTGAGAAGATCAAGAATTTGGAAACTGTGGAGGAGAAACTGATCCAGCTCAACATGCCACGATATTATGGCTGGAAACTGTTACTTTTAAAAGAAGATAAACTACCGTATAATTCATTGAAGTACATCCAGTATATCACGAGAACGCACATTATGAAAGAGCCTGGTCTTCCAGCTACCTACAACAACGTGATTTCCACCGAACAATTGGATAGCATTGTGGAAGCGGTCAAAAATAACATAGCGGATGACATAGCTTTCGAACATTGCAGCAGACAGTTAGTAATATAGTATTATATCAGTGTTAGATCAAATGTGTAAAAAAAACGAACAATTATGCTCAAATAACAACTATATAAATAATTACCCAACAGATCATTATGAGATCATTGACAGTTAACAACTTATGATTACTTGCCTATTCAAGCTGCATATATAATTAGATATTATGCTCGAGCTTTTATATTCTATGCTGATAGTTTATCATATTGCAGGAGGAAGCACGAAGTAAGTGATGAAGATTTAGAAAATAAATTGAAGATGGAAGATATTATTTCCAAAGCTATAATCGAAAGAATTAATAGAACGATGTTAACGCATCTATCTTCCAAGTACTCACACTTGTTGAATACTGAGGTCGACATCGAGCCAAGATTGGAAGCATCTTGGTTCATGGGTACGGAACCTCAAGAGAAAGTGAGAAAATTCAGAGAAAAACGAAAGTTACCGGACGATTATATCGACGAGCCAGTTAACTTTCCTGTTCAATATCTGGGTCAACCTGTCATAAATCTAAGATATAAACATCCATTGAGAGAGATTATTTCTCTGAGCGAGTGTGAAAACCCAGACTTGGATGTGCCTACGTTCAAGTACTCCCCTGGAGTGATGGGTTTCAAGTTAGATCGGCGACACGTGACCAACATACCCGGATTTTGGCCCGGCGATGAGCACGAATTTGGATTGTTGTCTTATCACAGTTGTGTTCACCTTTGCAGAAGATCGCAGAATTACGACGATGTGTCAGAGGCTAAGATAGCGAAAGCCATTTTAGCATCTTACAGTTGGTTATTGACACAAGCCTGTTATCAAGGTCGTTACACACAGGATCGCTTTTTAAATATTAAATTTATAGATTACCTCGTATCTACAATTATACGTAAAATTTCAGGTTTCTCGACGTTTAACGATATAACGTATCCACTGACTACACAAACGATCGTAACGGATGGACAGTGGTGGTCGTTTTTCGCCTATCAACTTAACACTCTGTTGCTGCATTGCGAGCACATAGACACGAATCCAAAGCGCAACATATGCTGGGTCACGGAGCCTATGAAGTTGTTTGATAAGATAGAAGATGAGAAGATTCACGGCTTAAATGAAGAGGTTCTCAAGAACCTGATCAAGTTTTACGCGAATGTGCCCGAAGAGAGGGTAGGTGTGGATTTGAAGCCGTATTTGGGGAAATCCGTGAAAGTAATAGCCGATATAGAGCACGACGAGAGACGAAACTGGCTCGAGGAGCATTACAAGTATATCGCGAGCAACAGACCGCGGCACAAGTGAGTGTTAAGGAATAGCGTTATCATTTTAGCAATTATCTTCTTGCTGTGGAATTCCTCCCTTCACTTAACCAGCAAATTGAATCATGGTAACACTGTATATATTAATTCAATATACGTCTCCTTTTCCTCTTTTCAGACGAATATCCGAGATATATAACTGGCAGAGAATCTATGTCATTAATCATAAGACTCGTCAGCTGGATAAGAAACGTGAACCATTTGAACGCGGAATCAATATATACCGACGTAGATTAGACGACCACCAGCCACGTTACATACCGAAGTGTTTACGGGAGAACCCTAAATTAAAGAAGGTGGGAAAATGGGCCAAGACGTACTACCCGTAACTTAAGGTACATGCATAGTCATTGTTGAACATACATAAATATAAAAGTGATTATGTAAAAAAGGTGATTATTAATTTTGCAACGATACGTATAATTCCATAACAATCCATACGATCCATCGTTCCTCTCAAACATGTTTATCACAATATTTACATTGTCACACAGCCCTGATTTCCCTTGTAAAGGGCAGGGCGATAAGGATTTGTAGATACATATATTTATCCGCGTCTAAAGTCTTAAATAGTCGACTTTCCGCATTCTTGTGGTGCTCGATATATCAGCGTAGTGAAAGATTTCTCGGGTTGCTGTAGACATATCTTACCGGACATGGCATCGTCTTGAATGCAGATATTGTGGGGAATATTATCTCTGTGACAGAAAAATATTGGATTATTTCGAGAAGTCTTAATGTATCATCCCAAAAAATCGTGCACTGGTCTACGAAGGAATCCGGAAATTCGATTCCACGTTCTTTCCGATGATAAGAATTACTGCACGGTTTTTTTTTTTTTTGGGATAACATGTGTCGTGCTTGTTCGCACAAATCGTTTGATATGCCTGCCAATTGATAACAAATGATTATTAAATTACATTAATTTCGGCAATATATATGTAAATGAACCGAGCCGATAGATCATCGTTCACATACGTGTCGTTCAAATGAAAATGATTTAGCGTAAAATTACCACTCGGTATTGGCCTATTAAACGATCAATGCGAACAAGGCTATCGATATTAATGATATAAGTGTTTTTCACTAACTTGTTCATGATCACGATCACGATTCCCTCGTTTGTGCAGAAAGCTACAGCTTTAACATTTGAATAGTCTTCAAAACAATTCTTATAGCTAAATTCTGAAGAAATTCTTGTGGAATTGCGCGGAACAAATTTGCTGACGTGATAAAGCGCGTAATACATGGGTTGTTTGTAGAACTCGTCATTCTCCGGCATTACAATAATAGGCGAATCCACATAGTTTTTAGCCCAATTCGGCATGCCGTGTTTGTCGAGCGCTAAATTCCAATCCACCCATCCGGACACCCAATGTAACATATTCTGGGAACATATCCAGCAATTCTCATAATAGGGCTAGGTGTATGAGTAGAGTTCGACATTTCATTTGCGACTTGTCGCCTTTGAGTGAAATAACTAATGCATATTATAGAAAAACTCTCTTATCAACTTTGCAGGGGTTGATTAGCTAACCAAAGTCATTTCAAATGGTTCCCGTGAACATTCTCACCATGCGTTCAGAGCTAAAATACGACTGTCAGATTTTTCTTACGGCTTTATCGAGAGTATGTTCTTCTTCGTACTAAGTAAACGAAATCCGAGAACAGGCGTGTTTTTTCGTATTCAGATTCTGTAAATATGACGTATACAAACCTCGATTATATCTTGAAGATACTTCTCCCCTCGTTCCCATGATCCAAGTTTCACCTTTTCTCTCTCAAGGAGGCTGCTGCCTGCAAGCAAAGGATTAGTCGACTTGAGCCTTCCCAATAATATTATTGTAACAATGCCTTCGTTGCTTCGTTTTATCAAAACTATATAAGACGAATGATATGTGCTTACCGGTGCACGCCTCGGTCATCAGTATAAATTTATTCGGATACTCATTGTGCAATTTGTCCAATCGGGATAACGAGAACAGCTTGTTCGCATACCAATGATACGCAGTACCAGTAAATAGTTCCTTGGCTTTATCAGACTTGAACATAATATCAAGAATTTCCGGTATAAAGAAACGTTGGTCATCCAACGCCATGTAAGTAGGCTCGTATCCAGCTTCGGACAAGGTCGGTTGTAGATTTTTTGTGCAAAAGTTCGCCGCTGTCGTGGCGGTCCACTTCATAGCGTTAAAAGGGAAGATGGGGAAGTATCCGTCAAGTGGCTCATTACCCGGGGTCATACCCCATATATCTATATCTTTCTCCTTGTATGCGTCGAAGAATTTACGAATATAATCGGCATATAGCTGATAGTATTCAGGTTTCAATGCACCTGTTGGATCATTGTATCGTGTTACGCGATTTCTCTTATATACACAATCCCGGGAAAAAATTTTTCATATATAATTATATACAGAATATGTTCGTATATATAAAAACATATAATTATATATTAATATATATTTATAATATTATACTTATAATATTATAAGTATAATCAATAAAATTATATATATATAATCGTATAACTTTATCATCACTTCATGTACAATTACATATTTTTATATATATATATATGACCCTTTATACATGATAATTATTATATCTAATTGTATATGAAAAATTTTTTCTCGGGATTATACATGATCTTTAATTTTTTAGAGGGCGCTTACCTATAACAAGGGGTCGGTCAAAATCATTG